ACAAGTTAGAGGACTAGATTCATAAACAGGCAAACATAGAGGATCGAAAACTACAATTTTTTCCAAAATTATTCATAGAAATGGGGATAGCTCAGATTGTTTGTACCCTGGTTCACTTTTTGCCATTACCATTGTTTGAAGCTTTAATTAGTTGTACGTTCGTCTCAGCATTGCATTCTTGTACGTAATGATTACTCTTCTTGTTTGTTCCTTAGTTGAATTGGTATATTTGTTTGGATTATAAGGGTAGTACTGTCATTTACCTTTTCTGTGAAATATGACAAAATTACATATATATAAAAGTATATATGTTGTTCATTTTCATTGTAAAGACATTTAATGCTGAGGGTAGTACCGTCCTGCCTGAACATTAATGGCACGAGACTAAATTCTCTCCAACAATTATTACAATTTTATAGTACATTTGTTTTTTTTTTTTAATTAAATCTGTCAATTTATTTTTTAAGTGTCGATTAAGTAGATTCACACTAATTAATAAAACTACTAAATAGATTTAATTTTAGGATAGGAAACATGAAATTACGAAAATACCCCTCCGGTTTGTGTAATTACAATTACACCTCAATTATGTATTTTCTTACAAAAAAACCCTTTATTTAGTAGGTAAATTTGACACAATAATGATGGAAGTGTACGACAATACATAGTTGATGAATTGTCGTAAATACCCAAACAAGGGAGAGGGTTTCGTAATTTAATCTTATTTCAGGGGGTTGGTCGCAATTTGCACGCCATTTCTTTTATACTCCCTCTGTCCCATATTATATGTCTTTTTAGCGAGTTTTTCTTGTCCAAAATTATTTGTCATTTTAAATTTTCAATGCATCATTAATTTCATTATTTTCAATTTTACCCTTTATCACTCTTGATTAGTTAGTTGTAAAACAATTGATGTCAAGGATATATTAGTATTTTTCTATGCTTTTTACTACAATCTATACACATTAATTGATTTTCTTAATATGTGTGCAACAACCCAAAACGTCATTTAAATTGGGACGGAGGGAGTAATATATTTGTTTTTTTACATTCTAATTTCAATATTAACTATTTAAATTTTCAAGGGTTAATGTGTTATTAAAATAATTAAAATATTAATTACTTAAAAAAAACCCTACAAGAGATTCTACATTTTACATTGTGGTATAATGTTTTAAAAAGTATACTTTAAAAGTGAAATGCATATACGAACACTTTATTCTTTATAATATTATAATATTATAAATATAAATAAGTGGAAAATAATTAAATAAATAAATAAATAAAAGAAGGGGGGCCAGTATCTTTCAAAATCTGAAATGCAAGTGTCTGTATGTGTGCGGTTCCTTAATTCCGGACCAAAGAAAAAGAAATGAAGCTAGGTGCGCATGTTAGTGCGGTGGGACCCCTTAAATTAATCAAATTATCTGTCCTAACCCCTTTCCGGCGCAGACCATCGGCGCACACTAGCCTCGCTCCGTCATACATCGGGATTTGCCATATATTTATTTATATAATATATATAAAATAAATATATCCTGAAAATATTCTTATCTAAATTAAAATAATAATGAATTATTTGATGGCATAGTATTCTTCTCATATGCTTTCGGCATGCGTAAAAAGAGCCGTCACGTGCTTGCCACGAAATCTAATTCCAGCGAAAATATATATATTATAAATAGAAATTTTTCAAAGGGCCTGTTTGGACGATCAAGTTTCAAGGTTTTGGTTGATGTGAAAATTGTACTACAATTATGAATTAATTTTTCAATTTATTAATATGTATTGTGTGTGTATCTTTGGGTTTTGGTTTATGTAAAAAGTAAATTACAGTTTATTATTCAATTGAGTTATTCATGAATTTATTAATATAGTTTTCTACTTGGATGTTTAATAAGTTTTTATTGACTTTTGATTTATATTTGAACTTCGTAATTCTTTGAGGGCTCGTCCGATTATCACTTCTACCGATTAATAGTAATAGTTAGTGAAATGTTCGGTTAACAATATTAATACTTAAAAGAACAATTAATATCAGAATATAATCACATGTAAGTTTGTTAAAGAAAATATCTTATAGACAAAATACATTTAATACCAGTATTTAATATATTTAATCCAGTGAACTAAACTGAACGTCTTACTAATTAAATAATTAATTAATCAGTGAAAAATTAATTAATTTTCATCTAATCCAAACTAACCCGAAATAGATAACCGAACGAACCCTATGTATCTCAATAAGGCTAATTATCTTGTAATTCTTGCCCACAAAATTATACAAACACTACCTTATTTGTTAATCACAATAATAATTATTTAATATATCACGACATTATTGACCTTTTGTTTGGCATTTATTTATTTATTATTAAAATAAAAAAAAGTTGGAGATAATAATCTAAAAAGCCCACTTTTAGAGCGTCGAGTTAAATTGCATCTTTGGGGTGCAATCATTGATTATTGTTTTAGGATTAAAGTTGTGTTATAAATTAATTAATTATTTCTATAATGTATTCCGATTTGGGATTATTTAATTCAAGCAATAAAGTGTGAAAACAACCGGGTCAATTTTGTTGATGGGGTTTGACTTCGGTCCGACCCGTTGACGTCATTATGATGTCACATTTCATGAAATCAAATTTGACAAACAATTTTGGTGGTATTTTTGTAAATTATTGAAAGATGCATTGAAGATATTCTATAGATTTTTTTTTTAATGTATTTATCCCAATTAAAGTTTAAACACCATATTTTGAACTTTAATTTTCATTCACTATAAATTGATTTTGAGTAATAAAATATGTAGATTACATTAATTATTGTTCAAAGTTAGGTAAACACCTAATTTTGAACCAATTTCCCTAACAAATATTTGGTTTAACTCCATCCCTCTAAAACTTCTAGCTTTCTTGGAAATTTAGAAACACAATATTTATTTTATTTCCATAAAATCGTAAATAATATTAGTTTATCGATCTTGTGTAGTAGAATTTCAATATTAAAAAAAAACGTCAATTGCGCTGAATTACAATTAATTTCTAGTTTCATCAATGAGTTGACTCGTGAGCCTCAGCGATGAACTTGAGCTCGAAAACTTCTGTCTTGAGCTAACCCGACTTCAGTTCGAGCTCATCAAAATTTACCTCAGCTCAAGCGAGTTAGACCGTACCCAAGTTTGATTCAATCTCAACTCATTAATACTCCTATATTTGATAAATAATATGAGATTTCGAATTCATAGTACTAAAATCGCTAAACTAGTTATACAAACTTATATAAATAAGTAGGAGCGTAAACGAGCACAAAAAAAACAACCAAAAAAACACAAAAGTTAAGAAAGGAAACAAAGATTGACACAATCCATGCAACTAGACAACATTAACATACTACAATCAATTGCCCATGATGAGATAAAACCAAAGTCAAATTATATGATCTCATTTATTCATTTAATTTAATTCAATTTAATTTTTATTTTTTTATTTTTTTAGATTTATTTAAATTTTTTCCCCTTGATTTGTGGCTATAATGGGTGGAGGGTACCCATCTCTTCTTCACTCTTTTGCTTTGAGCCATTGCTTTTTTCTCTCATAGGGGAAGGAATAATTCTGCCAGTTGCTTCCTTAATTCTCACGTGGGCCCACTGCCAGCTGTGGGGCCCATATGTTTTGGTGGGCCCGGCCCAACAAAAATATTTTTGTTTGCGTGAACCAACAGAATTTGGTGACGTGGACATCTGCTTTGATGGGTTGGTGTAGTGGAGACTTTGTGAGGCCCACCACCACTGCTCAGCCCATTTATTCACACATGGGAGTCAAGAAAATGACACCGGATAATTCAATTTGACAAATACTAAATAAATAAAATAAAATAAAAATCAATCAAACTTTTCTTGCTCGATTTATTTGAATCCACACCCGTTGAACTTCATCGAATGTAATTTCATCGTACACGTGTATCGTCAACTAATCTAATTTGTTTACACATACCAATGTTTATGTGTGTGTGGTTTTTTGTAGATATATGGTGACAAATTACATGATGTATCTCACGAGTATCAGATTTACATGTACAGTAGAATCTCGATAAATTGATAGCCTCTCTTAAATAATAATTTGTTCTGATTCCGACTCAGTAAGAACGTATTAAATTATTAGTTCGATAATTTAATATTTTGCTAAATTAATTGAGTTTCGCTAGTTCCGACTGTATTAAAACGTTTAACAGTATATTTTACTTATTTATTATTGTAAAAGGAAGAAGGGATTTTTGCTTGTTTATTACACTAGCCTTGTCGCTTGCCATGCTGTAATAAATAATAATGCTCTGTTCTTTTCACAAAAAAGTTAAAAACCCACATATGGAAAAAAAGATATACATGGTCGGAATATATATATATGTATGTATGTATGCATATATATCGTGGTGGTTGCGAGTGCTGCTGAAGCAAAACTTGCCCCCTCCCTCGTCTACATAAAAAAAACTTTATTCATCTCTTTTCATCCAAAGTTGACAAGTTAAAAGAAAGAGATTTTCACGATTTTTTATATATATATATTTTTTTTTTTTTTTTTTTTTGAGTAAATTCAAGTCCATTACAAGGGGAAGTAGGGGAGGGGGGACTCGAACCCTAAACCGTTACCCTATTGGTAAAGGCTAGGTACCAACTCTCCTAATGAGAGTTGGTTTTATATATATTTTTTTAATTATCTTTTTACTCTTTGTTCGAGTGATCGATGCTTCACTTCCAACAATCGATTTGGGATTTGAATTACTTTTTTTCTTACTTCCTACACAATTATACATAGTATAAGGGGTACTTATAAGTTATTACCCAGACAACATTGCTTTTTTTTTTTATTTATTTTATTTATTTATTTATTTATAATTTGACAGTACCTCAAGGGTGTGGTCGTAATTTGCCCTATAACATTACAAACGCTTTTTAGTCTTTCACGGCACACTCGTCAATAAATATTTGAAGAAAAAAATGATATTGGTAAACAAAATAAAGTCTCAAAAACCATCTTAACAGGTAGAGTAGTAGCTCGTGGTTATTTAGCTTATTAGTACATATTCTAAGAGCCGTAGATTGATACAAATGCTCGTCAATCATAATACAATCTGGAAATAAAAATGGTACAATCATAAAAAGTGAAAAAAAAAACGAACCACACACTAATAGGGCCGGTAAAAATTAGGCACATTTTATACGAGAGGCAAAAACATGGTAATAATTAGAGCAAAAAGACTAGAATACATGTCAGTTAACATAAATATTTTCGAGAATTACCATGAAAAAGGACTTGCCCCCAACAAGAAAATCTCGTTTTCTACATCTTTCACCCATTGACAAACACGATTGCATATTTTTATAGCAAGAGCCTGCAAACATTATTGAAATAAATCAGAAAATTTATGGAGGGATCCAATTGTAAAAGGGGTCCAATATTGACAATATACTATTTACTTATCATGCATAATAATAAACAGAAGCAATTTTAGCGGTGTGAAAATGAAAATATAGAAGCAGATGTTTAATGGTCGAACCTTATCTGCAAGGGGGTCAAAAGCTGCATACAGTTCAAAATCTTGTGTGACCCAGCAGAGTAGCACTGTCGTATCAAAGGACTAGTTAGAAACTTCACACCGATAATTTATTACCAAGTACACAAAGCAAAGAGAAAAAAACATTTAGTTGGAGGCCTCGATTGCAAAAAGCTTCAGCTTAAATATCAGAATATTGGATAGCAGCATTTGATTGTGATAATTCGAAACAAATCCCTGAAAATTTGAACACAGCTATACAACCTACGACGGACACGGGAGATATTGATCGAAATGTCTACATTAAAAAAAAAAAGCATCAATTTCTAAGCGTATGTCTATTTAGCTTTGATGAAAGTTCATGGAAATCTAATTGCCAAACTATCTTTTACACTTCCAGAGAATTAACCTAGCAAAAACAATGAACAACCAATAACTAATCGAAACAACCACCAAAATCACATGTTTTATTTATGTTGGGACACACTTTATTTGGGCTAAATGTTGTATATATGTTCCAGTAATTAAATTAAGCATGCTATTCAAATTTATATAATATGAAAAATTCTACGATTATAAGATACAATTTTAAGATGACGGTTTTAGATTCCTCTTTCAATGTTACTAAAAATCTCAATTTTGACTACCTTGGATACCATAATATTGTATAAGGGATCCAGTATGAGTGTTTTCAAATGATTTCATTCAACAAAGCGGAAAAAGAATAGAACTCCATTGCTAAAGAAAGCATCAAAGAAGATGACGAAGATTTACCATAATTTTCATCTCTTCTGAACTGGGTTTTATGTGGTCCCGTTCCGTTATCATGCATGGATGCATAAAGTCTTTGGTAAGCCCTATATAATCTGCAAACAAGGATCCATTAGTACAGTCGATTGGTAAAATCATGGCCTTACAGAGGCAACTTAAATTTTATTAACTCACCTTTTTTGCTGTCTCAAGCTGTTGATTGGCGATGAAAATTCAGAGGACACATATTGGTCAAGATAATTACTCTTGTATATGAAATGCCATAGTCCAGCTGGACCACCAATACCAACAAACCCGTCAGTAATTCTCCCTGAGGAATCTGCTGCAGGTCTTGGTTGACCTAAATGAGAAGAATTGGCTCCAGCACGAGAACCGGGGTCCATAAGCAAATCCTCAATATGCAAACCACCATCAACCAAGGATCTTTGAACTTCACCAAGTACATTTGAATTCACAAGTACAGTTTCAATCCGAATCCTATAAGGTGGACACAAATTTTCCTTTCAGCAAAGACCATATATATTCATCCAATACAACCCAATGAATGTTCTTGTAAATTTGACGGATTCTGAAAATGAGTATGGTTTCTTAGGCATTAACGCTGCAAGTTTACCTGCTGTCTTTTAAATGAAAGAAGGCATCTGGACTTGTGCTGAGCAAGATCAGGTATGTATCGATCTGTCATTAGAGTCAATAATGCATCAGTCTATGGTAAATTGATATAGACATCATGGAGAGTAAACCGCATAATCAAAATCCAGGAATTCGCAATCCTGTAATCCAAAATTTAGTATGACTTACATCAAAGTAATGCACATAAGCATATAGAAATGCCATGGCATTGTATCTTGGTAGGCAAATTGGTGAGAAGGATTCAGATGTCCTGCACGAAATTGATAGGCATGTAAAATAACATCCTCAGATAATTCATCCAAAAATAACAAAGTGGCCTTATCTCATTTTAAGAAACAAAAAGGAGAGGAAAAACTAGTTGTTTTTTAATAACTTCTTCAAAGCATAAAAATTAGAATATTCTTAAGGAAGAATCCATGAAACTAATTCAGTTTATCTCCTTTTTACCGTGGGAAATTGTTTTACGTTCATTGAAGTTGGGAAAGGATCCCGAACATCAACTTACAGGCTGGAAAAATGATCAGCCTAAGATGCATTAAATGAGAAAAGACTCGTGAACAGCTAAGAGCAGATTAGAAAACAGTTAGGGGTACAACACTCCTTTAGAGATTTCAATCTTTTGGATCTAACACATGCTGATTATTCATCTTCTGTTTAACCCCATCTGTTCTATGTTCATAAATTAAAATACCCACACCATGCATGCACATTCTACGAGCAGCCTACTCCATAAGTGTGTGCGTGTAGTTCTTAGCATGTTGTACACAACAGATCAAGTCACATTTCTATACGACAGTTCATGAAGGAAGACGGTCAAGAGTATCTGGAAGCTAAATGAACTTACCTAAAAGATTCAGATGACATAATAAAATTGGAGAGTATTAGTAAATCATCAGGATGAAGAGATGCTTTTTGGGCTCCAACAAGGCTGATAACCTGCATTGCATTTTAATTTATGATGTTATTTATTAAAAAAATAGTGTTAGCCAGGGGAGGAGGTGGCTTATATCCGGTGACTTCAATTTACATCATTCGTGTTGAGAAAGAGTAAATAAATTAAAAAAAAAGTAATCCTACACACACACACACACAAAATAAGACACTTGAGAGCTTAAAAGCTCAATTTTTTTAATTTTTTTTGGTTGTTGATAATTTGGTTTTCACAAAAGAGCTCATAATATCAAGAAATAAGTTATTGGATAGCTTATAAGATTTTTCAAAGAAGTAGGTATCCCCACCTTATTTTTAAATCTTATGACTTATAAGCTCCATTATGTTAACATTCAATATACAAAAGTACCGTCAATTATTTCATTATATTTCCCTATTCTTTCAAACTACATATTGTCTTTGCCAACCTATTATTTATTTTAAAATCACAAGGTAAAATGATTAGGAGTCTTCATCTTAAAAACGCTTGTGAGATAGTATAAAAGACAGACTAAAGGCTGATAGCTCTATAAATTAATTATAGTATACACTCAATGCAAACTTATCATTAACCCCTTTGTCTTAAATGCTTGGGCTTCACATTGTGCAGTTACTTAATTTTGTGAAATAGGTAAATTTCATAATAACAGCAAAGAAATAACAATTACCTTGTGTTTACACATTAATAGAGAAAACAATACTCCTGAGCCAGCTACATCTTGCAAGATGGCGCCTGCAGCTTGTCGTGTTGCATAAGCCATAGGAAAACATGAATATGCATGAAGAAACGTGGCAGGGTTCCTACAATCAGAATAGGAAACTTATTTTAGTTATAAATTAAGACTGAGGGAAGGTGATCAATTAATCAGTTTTATGAATCTCATTAAAAGCTAACCAAAAATAACTATTTATTTGACTCAAAAGGGAGTCATATAATTCAGTTCTATAATTGTGTCCAAAACGATGAGTTATCTAATATTTGGAACAAATAAATATATAAATAGTAGTTTAATCATTTTGCCTGTTTCCATCCTTGAAATCTTAAGACATTTCATTCATGTTGCCAAATTGCACGTTCCTGTAAATGTCTAATTATTAAAAATGCTAACATGTATACATTTCACCGTCAGATTATATTCACATGCTCTAGTTTCTAATTATTTCATCTCTTATCGATACTATACATCAAGCACAAGCACCATTAATAGTACACTGAGAATGTTAGAAACAGATGTAAAAATCAGATGTAGATGGTGTATCTCATCTGATTGCAAATTACTTTAACATGCTATGGAGTAAAAAGAATTACCAATTGAAAGAATGGATGAGAGAAGAGAAAACAGCTTCTGTTCCGCCAAGCAGCGATGTCATATCAAATTTTGGATTCTTCTCGAAACATCGATTTACAGACTTCGTTAGGATAAGTATCATCTGCATATTGATAAAAACTAAAATAAGAGAACAAAAAGGAATTGAGTGAAGTTGTAACTTGTAAGGGCAAAAGGTTATTTCAGGCGGTTATGAACCCTTACTTGAATTATTTAATAAATAAATTGCCTATGCATATGGGATACGCTACCTGACCATAGAGGAGCTCAAGCTGTCCCTTCAATGATTCATACGGCTCTTCTGTACAACTTATGCACACCAAGTAAATTGGACCTTTCACAAGAAAAATAACCTAAAATAGAAAATTTCACGTCAGCAAACAATTTTGTCAGTCATGTACAAAATCAGAAGTTTCTGGCATGGTGATGTGGACAACAAAGGACTTGAGAAAAAAAGGTCATCGTGAAACACAGTTTCCCTTATTTCCAACACCTATTTTCAAGACGGCTTCAGAAAATGACGGCAAGAGAGGACAAACAGACTTAAAAATCCTTATCATGGAACCTGAACATTTGAAGATGCCACATAAATACCATTTTAGAGAACATAAAGCTGTTCCCTATTAGTTGAGCTAAAAAACCTACTGAACTCTCGTCTATTCTCATAAACTTCCAATAATATAAGACAAAATTCTCCCACTTAGAAAGTTGATTGCTAAATGCTTCAACAACCACAGCAGGGATGCATGGCAAAAGTGGTACAAATTACATAACCAGCTTGTTTTTCTACTGGACATAAGCTACCACCACTCTAAAGTGTCTACACGTTTTCTAGAAAGAAACATAACCAATCAGTACGCAACTAAAAAATCCCGACGCAACTTTATAAAAATCTCATAAGTTGAATATTAACCTGGTGTTTACCGGCTTTCACCAATTTGACTCGATCTCCCCTGGAAAAGTATCAAACGAGCAGCTAAGCAAAACTATAAAACAATACCCTAAAATAGATATAATAAGTGACATACCCATTTTCAACAAAGGAGATGATGGCTTGCAAAGTTGCAGAAAATCCAGCTAGCTTATATTCATCCCCATATCTACAAGTCAAAATTAAAACCAGAAAATACAATATTAGCTACACTAATGTAAAATAGCTAAGAAACTAAACAATCCTGAGGAAACGACAACTGTTATGTTTCATTATGCAGAATTATACGGAAGAAAATTTGATATAAACCTCGAATATATGGGTTTTCCAGAGTGACTCAAAATAAAGAAGTGTTTCTTCCTTTTCCTCCAAGAAACTGAAGCATCATCCTGTAGTTCATTCATTATAATTAAGTAAAAATAAACACACACAAAAAATCAGATTACTAGCAAAACCGACACGCACAAAATTTTCCATTTCAGATAATCGCAACAAATTATTAGAAAATTGCTAATAATTTTACTCGAGCTCACCTCATCAGGGTAGCGTTTACCAGAAACCCACTGTTCATGGGACCCCGAAACACCATCATTTTCAACCACGCGGATCTCAGTATCTTCTTCGTCATCATTGACGTCATCACCTCCACTGGTGCTCCCCCTCTCACCAGCATAGCCGCTGCTGTTCGGACTCAACGGCCGCTCAACTTCATCCCCCTCCGAAATATTCTTCCACTCAAAGGAAGGGCTCTCTGCAATCACCCCCGGAAGCTCCGCCCTAATATTGTTATTGTCAACAATATGCTCATCCTCGATTGAATCAATTGCTCCGGCAACTCCAATTTCTTCTTCCACTGATCCATTCCCGATTGTAAGCTGCTCCGCCGATTGATCTTCTTCTTCTTCTTCGTCATCGTCAAGCGTCGCCGTCGGGGAACGGGATGCCATTGAAATTGACGCCAGCTGATTCTCAATGGCGTCAAGCGATTGGTCAATTGACTCCGGATTCGGGTCGGGCTCCGAGCCGGAATCTGGATTCCGGTCATCTCTTCCGGAGGAGGAATCGGAGGATGAAGAATTCGAATCGGAGGTCATCGCTTCTCACAGAAAAACAACAACAAAAATCCAATCATGCAGAAAGAAGAGTTCAATCAAGTACAATCAACCAAACCCCTCCCCATTGAAAAAAATAATAATTTGATTTTAGAATTATTATTTACTGATGGGATGAAATCGCATCTACCAGTCAGGGGTGGTGGGGCGGTGAAAACAGTGACGAAATAGTACAATACGACGCCGTATGTTTGACCGGTTGGTGGTGGGCTTAGAAATCGGCCCGATTAGTGTTGCGGGCTTTTAATTCCATTTTTGTGCTTCATATCATACCGGATTGAAGAAAAATAAAAATAAAAATCCAAAATTGTCAATTATTAAAAATAATTTTTCTTGAACAAATATGAATGCTCATGAACCAACATTTATGTAGATTTATTATTTTCTCAGATAATGGATCTCAATCTTTGAAAAGGTTACGTAAACACATCTTATAATTTTCTCTCGAATAATGATTTCAGAAAATAATGAATCGATGCCGTCTCTTTGGAGACCACGACTATAAATATAATTCGACTCCATCAACAGATCATGAATAACTCGAATTATCTCTACACATTAGGTACGTGATCATAGTTCAACATTCAATTATTTTTATTAGGTCACAATTAATATGGATTATCCTTTTAGATAATCAACAAACTTAATAATATACATATGTGAACCAATACATGTTAGATATTTCAACTATGTTCACTTGACATATATTGGATGGTATCGGAATACAATAAACAATATCACTTAATTTCTACGGTGCACAAACGTTACTACATCGAAAGTTAAGATATCTTCTAGTATGCCAGGTGAACTTCAGGCCACCAACTCTCGTTCATTTTCTTTTGAGTTACAACATCTTTATCATCAAGAGCTACTTCATCATTCCCATTGATGTCTGATCGATCACTCGTGTTGAATATGCATATCCCCAGAGAATCTTGAAACTCACAATTTAGCTTTGGATCTCTATTTTCGAGTGATTTGTGAAAATTTCCAATATTATAATAAGATAATAATATTATGAATACAAAGGAAATTGAAAATGCAATTAAAAGAAGCCTTGTGCATATTGCTTTGGCTTGGAATAGAAGTGGAATGGTCATGATACAATGTAGATATGTTGTTGCAAATCTCTCTCTATATTTATATTTGCTCATAAGTTGGCAAGGCTATTCAATTGGTTTAAGGGACCTCAAGTTTGGTTATTTTTATGTGGTTGAAATTCTTTAGCCTTCCTAGTATCATTAATTGTGTACCAAATACAATGAAATTCGTTCATTAGTCAATTACAATTTAAGTGTCGAATTAATGAAGCAGATGCTACAATGAATGCTAAAGCCGAATTAGTGTACCTTATACTATACTAGATGAACTTTATCAGGTTATTTTTCAACTTGATTTATATATAATACAATTACAAATGTACATGTGGATGTGTGTAAAATATGTATGGTAGTACATAACTTGATAAACTTTATCGGTATACCATAATACAAACATACCTTTGTTCGTATTTTTTTTATGCATACTTTTACTCATATTTTATAAGTGTGTTTGGCACCATTTTTTGTATATAAAAAAAATAAAATTTTATTTATTACATATATTTTTTAAATTCTTATGTTTTATAATATAATTGAATTTTATATTTGAAAAAATCTGCAATTTGGATGTAAAACCACCTTTTTTCTTCAATTTTTTTTCATATATATATATATATACATATATATATATATATATCAAGTAGACTTTGGACAAACTGGACCACAGTTGAGTAATTAATGGAAACTTGAACTTGGGCTTTTGGACAACTTGACCCAATTGAAATATCCACCAATTGGACCCGAATTGCATTTTCCAAACCCTAATCCCAATCTCCACCAGTTTCACCGAGCTACTAGGGTTTAATAATTTCCCCCCTACTACAGCCATCGCCGGAGCTCAGCTACACTGTATCCTCGTACAATAGATTTTTCACCGGATTCCGTTTTTCGTTACTCTTCCGGCACTTACTACAACATCGTAGCTTGAAGATGGGGAAGATGGGGCGAGTGTACAGGATGAAAGGGCAGAAAAGGAAGGAGAAGGGAGAACGGTACGACAAGGACGAAGATGAATTCGAAAAAGTCGACGATGACGTCACGCCGCTGCCGCCTAAGAAGCTGAAATCGGACGACGCCGCCGCCGTTTCCGGCGCGGAGGAGAAATTGGAGGCGGAAGACGATGAAATGCCCGGGATTCCGATTGTTCAGGTGGATATGGGTAGAAGTAAGCCGGGCGTTATCTTTGTTCTCGAAAATGCGTCTTTGGAAGTTGCTAAAATTGGGAAGGTCTGTTTTAAGAGAGTGAAATTAGAAATTCATTTTTCTTATGTGATTGTGAATTGTGTGACATTATTATTATTATTATTAATTTTTTTCCGGGTTTATATGCTTGTTTTTTTCTTGATGCAGAACCATCAGCTTTTGAGTTCGGATGAGCACGCCAATTTCTTGATGAAAAATAAGAAAAATCCCGCCGATTATCGGCCCGACATTGCCTTTCAGGTTTGCTAATTGCTCGCCTACAAAGTTTATTATGTGTTTGTCGGTACAGAACTTTGGTTATTGTGATGAATAAGAGTTCTTTGCTCTGTTATTTTATGTACAGTTTGGTATGTATCTGGTTTTGGTGGCACTTACAACTGATATAAAAGAATATCTTTGGTAGACTTTTCAACTTAACATATGTTATGATGCTATAGCACCCACATTTAATTCACAGCAGAGACTACGAGTGCATTTTTTTTAAAACCGTACTAAATGTGTTCGATATTTACAAGAAGATAGATTTTAAAGATATGTGTAATACAATTTTGGAGGAATATTAAGTCATAAGAAGCCTAAATCTGGACTCGAGCTCCGATAAAACTGTTGACATATGCCTACTCGTTGGACTCGTGGTATTCTTCATATGTCAAGATATTGGTTCAAAGTAAATTGGAAATAAGATTAGTTTGTCTATTGGTCAAGTTCCCCTGTATTCGTCGTATTTTTCTGTGAACTATGCATAAAGCTCTTGAGGCCATGTTTGGCTGCCAAGATAGGATTAGCCAACATAAGATTAAATAATCTTATGAAAACATAATTGTTTTGGTGGACCATGGAAAGTCCACCAAAAAGCTCCCTAAAAGGCAAGATAAGTCATGATAACACATAATATTTCCAGGTCGACTCAGAAAGTTTTGAGATTTGCCAAACGGCAAACAAAGTCCAATTATTTAGGTAATCATGGCTAATCTCCCCAACCAAACAAGGCCTAGATGTTCTCTTCTCTTGCCTTTGATACACAATTTTTTTTTTTTACCTGCAAAACTATTGCCCGAAAAATGGATATGTTTTTTCTTCCACATTAGATATTATTGATCTCAAGTTGAGGTACTTTCTGTTTCTAACAAACGTGCATTCGACATTTCCAAACTTTTAGGCGATTCAAACAATTTTAGACAGCCGTGTGAACAAATCTGGTAGATTGAAAGCTTTATATGTGAAGACACAGATAGGCGCTCTTTTGGAAATCAAACCTCATGCTCGTATGCCAAGGACATACAAGAGGTTCTCTGGTCTCATGGGTGGGTGCCCCCCTTAACTAAAGTTCGTCATCTTTATTTTCCCGTAGTTAAAAAGTTCTACTCGTACTCATTTCTATCGATGGTTCTGCAGTGCAATTGCTGAATGACTTGGACATTAAAGCATCCGGTAAGGGTGAAAAGCTTTTGAGAGTGATCAAGAACCCTGTTACCAAATATTTACCCGTTAACAGTCGTAAAATAGGTGAGCCGTTTTTTTTACGTCTTTGTTAATTGCTTTATTTAGAGGCTGGTTTTTTGCTATCTGAAGTTCTCAATTGGTTTGAATCGAACCTCAGGCTTTTCACACAGCTCGGAAAAGCTGACCGATATGTACAACTATGTCGATACTGTTAACGATGACTTGGATCTTGTTTTCGTGGTATGTTCAGATATTCCTTACTTCTTTCTTTTCGAAGTCTTTTCTTTTAGTTTATTTATGTATTTATATTTTGCGAATATTGTCCCTTCAGGTAGGGGCAATGGCCCATGGAAAAATCGAAGATAATTATGTAGAAGATTATATATCAAGTAAGCAAGATTCAATTACAAATATTTATTTTACTATTCTCTTGCTTTTTTTTTTAAGTTCGTCTTATAATGCATTGTCTTATTTCAGTTTCCGAGTATCCATTGAGTGCTGCGTACTGCATATCAATAGTTACGACTGCTGTGGAACGGAAGTGGAAGATATTGTAAAATGCATCGGGTTTTTTCCGGGCCTTTTCTTTCCCTTGGTTGTAGTATGATTGAAATAGATTTCTTTCAATTTCTTTGGTTGTAATACAAATCATATTTCCTTAGTAGAAAATGTTCTACTTATATTGTATTATTATTACCATTGCCAATTGTGATGTAGATTTTATTTATGATGTGAGAAAGCATTTTTCGGTAGTTGTTTTGTGCATGCGCAATGTATTTTGAGTATTAAATCAATTAGATTTTGGCTGTTTATCAATTTGATTATATATTAGGCGTGAGGAAAAAAAGCTGAAAAAACGAAGAATAAAAGAAAAAAAGAAACGAGCTGTTTCGAATTGTTCCAAATAGCCAACCGTATAAACGGTTTTTATTTGTGAAAAAAAACAGATTAATTGGTTCATGTATGGTGCAAAGGGTTAATAACCTAGCCAAAAACTCGAACTGGACTGAACTATAAAATAACTTCGATTTATGCTGAGCAAAAACCGAAACCGAACCGAAAAAACCCAAAATCGAACCGATGAAAAACTGATATATATAATTTTTAATTTTACAAAAATCAATATCTTTGGTTCATGTCCGGTTTAAGATGGATTTGAAACCAAAGATAAAAATGAGGACGGATGAAGACGGAGTACAAAGAATTTGTCGCTTGCGAATTCGCAATCTATATTTCGAATTCTTCAATCCAAATGTAACTAAGATTATCCAGAGTACTAATTGCAGAGCCGGACTAATGATCTATACATAATTGATATGCGTTACGTACTATGTATAGCATCTCACCCCGTGAAGAGAAAATCAAACGGCAAGCTTTGATTTGATTGCAGTTGGATTACTCCTCTTCGGGCGCTGGCTTTAAAATTCTCGTGTGATTCGTAAGTGACGAATAAGGTGATGATGATGCCTGCAAGAAGAACTACCAACGATATAGAAAACACGAGCCTTACGCACATCGCTTTAGCTTGGAATATTAATGGAATTGCCATTACATATAAACTAAGACAATTGCAGTAAACCCCAAAAAACTAACTTAAAATGATAAAAAAAAACTTAAGAAAAGGGGCTGTATGTATATATATTATGTGTTCTTGCATTTCTCCATGAATCTCTGTGTGTGTTTGTGTTTTAGGAAAGAAAACTTTCTCATATTCTTGCCTAATAATCACTATAGATGTGTGTCCCAGAAACAATAAATTGAGTTTGTTAGATTTATCGTGTCTTAATCTCACATTAATCAGCACGTGCGCGACAAATTACATCAAGATTAAGGCAAACATCATATCAAGAACCAGCTTTTCTTGTTAATGTTAGTTAGGATTAAACAAAAAAAAAAAAGTTTGGTATGTGATAATTGCATTTCATTACTACGTACCATCTTTTCATTTCTTTATTTTTTTTGGATTGCAAGCAACAAGTCCATAAATATGAACGAATTAAATCGAGTCGAACGCATGTTTCAGCTTATTTGAATTTTTATCGAGTTTTTAAACGTTTTGTTTGCACTTGGTTCGATTTACAACCGAGTTACGAACTTTTAATCGAGCTGAAGATGAATCGAATTCGTGTAACTTCATAATTTATAAAATTTATATTATCTTTCTCCTAATCTAGCCCTAACTCGACTAAAAAAAATAAGAATAATAAGTCAAAAGCTAATTAAAATTTAATAGAAGTCATTCATTGATGATGATATTTAACGAACAGATGATCAATAAATAAATCATTTAATGCATTGAAGTTAATCCTATTACTTGGAACTGGCTTCAAATTTCCAATGAATTAAAACCACTATACTTTGCAATAACTCCATATTTACTCCAATAGCCACCAAATTTCAACAAATAATAAAATTAAAAAAGAAAAACAAATTAATTTGAATTCAACTTTCTGCAATTTTCCACTTTCAAAATTTTGGAGTATTACATCATCTCTACCAAACACCAATTTCCAGACCTCAAATCTCAGCCTCAACAACAATCCATGGTCAAAAAATGAGGCTTTTTTCTTTTCTTTTTTTTTTTTTTGCCAAAAAGAAAAATAAAATCTCACAGTTAATCAAAAATTAAAGCGGAAAATAAAAAAATAAAATAAAAAATCAATCAATCCTCGAAACCAGTTTTCTGCCAAATCGAGCCTCTAACCCTACTCAGATCTCTCCCCTTGAGCGTCCTCCCTCTCCCTTCGTGCACCGAGAAGGAGGCGATCCTAGTCCTCGCCATTTGCCGCGCCAGAAACTCGTGCGGCGGAATACGGATCCCGCCGCCGTCTTCCTCCTCGTAATCGTCGTCGATCTCCGTCCGGCGATTCTCCCTGTACTCCTCCTTCAGTATTTTAGACCAGTCAGGAACGTTCACCGGCAGCGAACCAGCGCCGTCGACTCGTCCGCTCGCCGCCGCCGCCGCCGCGGACGACGGTTTCCTGGCGATTCTAGCGCTCGCCTTGCGGAAATCAGGCGACTGCGATCGGGGAACCGAGTTCCAGATGTCGGACTCGTCGAGCTCGAAGATCACCGAATCGGCGGCGACGGCGCGATCGGTAGGGAGGAACCTGTAGTTCGATCTGGCGAAGTAGCTCTTCGATGCCGCCATTAACGCAAACCTCAGAAATTTCTGAACAAATTCCTTTTTCACCTTCTTCCTCCGCTCAATCTCTCCTCTTTTTTTCTTTTTGACTGCGTGTTTTTTTTGTTGAAGGAATAAAGTTATGGAGAGAGAATTTTGCTTTTGTTGAATTGATACTCAGAAAATGGAGGTTTTTGATCTGATTTTATAAAGGGGCTGTAATGGATAAGGTTACTTCTCTCTCCTCTTCTATTCTCTCTCTACTCTGCTGCTTTCTCTTGTTTATCAGTCTTTTATTTTCTCTGCAGTTACAGACTCAAAGGAAAATACATTTTTGCCCCCCCAATCCCTTCCAAAAGAAACTCAAACGAAATGCCACGTCATATTTTTTAATTTTACAAATAATTATGTATTTATAAAAGTTGTGATATTTGCAAATATTCTAAAAAAATCGTTTTACTCAACTAATTTAGAAATTGTAGTGCGTACAAATAACTTTTAATTTCCAATTAATTTTTTTTATAAATAACTGAAATAATAAGTTGAATTTAGATTAAAATGATAATAACATGGTCCAATCCAATTATTTATTAATTTTAAGAATTACTTGTAATCTAGAAGAACGGTGGTAATTGAGATGCTACTTCGAATCATATTAATCAAGTAATTTTTAACTTATATAGTTAAATAAACACACGTACACACGAGAATATATATATGTAATTATATGTAGATCAACAGTTAAAAAGAATATTTTACTGGATGTAGCATCAAATAAACCGGCTTTAAAATTTACTAACAATTTCCAAATTATCCATTAATAATTTGGCTTTATCCATTTTAACCGCAATCTGGAATATTCCCCATATTATTCAGGTTAAAAATCCATTATCCACTCCTCCACATCCACGTGTCGACCGGGTTGAATTTCCAGTATGACAAAAGAGTGACCCTCAAGAGGGTATTCCAGTAATTCCACATTTTGTCTCTTTTAAGGGGATGATTTCACTTTTGTCGTGACGTTAGGGTTAGGGCAAAATGCAATTCACCTGGTACAGGTCCCCAGTCGCGCTCTCCGAGATAAACCGACACGCGTCCGAAACTTCACGCAGTTTCGGCCACGTGGCGAAATCAGGTCGACGAGCGTGAACGCACGTGAAGTGGGACCCGCGTGGGGGTGGGGGATTTTGGATCTAGCGCGGCTGCTAATGCCAGCTGGTTTGAAGTAGTCATCAACGGCGACAGACTGTGAGTTCTCGTGTGAGTTCATCATTTTTTCTTACCCTATTTTGTCGTCTTCCTCTGAATTTATCGTACTGCAAAAATTAATATTCCGGATTATAAACTTTAACAAGTGGCGCGTGGGTTATCTCTAATTATTTAATTTACGAATTGACAATTTGTTTTTCACTAATTTTAACTCTTTGCTAACTTGCAAATAGCTCACGAAGACAATGACGAATTTTTCGTGTTCGGTTTCAGTTTGAGTTCGAGTTTGATTTTTTATTTTTTCTCAATTGTAACCGTTCAAAATTTGATTCTGATCCACGTCCAAAGACTCATATCGATAAATCCAATAGAGTCACACAAACCAACCTCAAGTTTGCTTAAATAATAATACATGTCTACGTTTGCTAAGGCCCAAATTGGTCATAATTAAGTAATTTGGGCCCAAATTGGTTCATGTTAAGAGGCTTATGCGTATGAGAATATATTTCTCCATATAAATATCCAAATTCATTACAATTAAAGGTACGTAATTCATAATTTTCGAGCAGTCTCTTGAATTCTTTAAATTCTTCAATTATACAAAACTGATTTGAGCGTTAGAGGGCTTTCGTCGGGACCAATCCCGGCGCCCTAACAACTTTTTGTGATGCATGTAGTTCCCATGAGAGAGATCAAGAAGTGTGAGCGAGGAATTGCAAAACATGACGCGAAGTCGTATCACATCAGATTCTAAGTGTGATTTTAATATGATGTAAGCAAATTAGATTTTGCAATGTTTATAATTGTTCCTTCAATTACGTTAAGGTCGAATTACGATCAACTCCATGAGTTAGGGTCAAATTACGGGAAAAATCTCTCATATTTGAGTAATTCCAACTATCCCCTTCAACTATATATATCCTTACGAAAAAACCTCTCATTTAGTTGATATTTATTAATTGAAGAGGGTGATTGTAATTATCCATACATGCATAACCTTAGAGATTGACCGTAATTTATTATATTGATATTCGTAATAATTAGTAACGCTTTCAATAAATTAGAATCGTATATAATATGTTATGTTGAATTTTTATTTTATATTTAAACTGCAACCCCGATAAGTTTACGAATAACTTCGTACTTGTCAATAGTTGAGCTGAAATTAATTAAATTTCTAAATTAAAATATGTGCATCAATTTGAATTTGTTGTTGAGTGTAGAACAGAATATCACGCAAACACGTCACTAAGTGAAAAGAAAGCGACGTGCATTAATTTTAACCCAATACGATAAAGTAAGCTATAAATATTCCCTCCATTGCGTTATCATCGTTGGCTTTTGGCCAAAAGTTTAAAATAAATAATTATGATATAAATTGACAGCCACTAGTCTTTTTCTCTTATCAATTTTTATTTGCTTTAGTCCAAATTTTACGAAGAACCCTTTTAAATCTTAAACCTTACAATAAAACCCCTTATGAATGTTAACCATTACATCTAACTCCCTCAGGAACGGCTATGATTATGAATGTTAACCATTTTATTTTTTTCATATATATTATTTAGTTTTAAATAATTATAAAATGAAGAATACATAATATATATAAAATTAAAAACAACTATGTTATAAAATTTGTAAATATTGAATTTTTTAAATATATTATAAATTACACCCTAAGTAGATAATACGATTACAATGACTCCTGACCGTAATTTGGTCCGTAAATATTAGTATTAGAGGAATATTCTATGGAATCATAAAATTCCATCATAAGGGAAACTATGTAGAACGCCAACATACATTAGGGGGGTTTTCATAATTATGCAAACATAAAGGGAATTTTCATAATAAGTACTTATCTTAAGGGTTTTAAATAAATTGCCCTATATTTTATTATTATTGGTCCATATTTAAATGTTTGATGTGAAAGATACGACACTTCACATCCTCCATTGAATATAATATTTTTTTAATCGATTCATGTGCCAAAAATAATTAGAGATTGATATAAGTAGTTGGCAAAATATATAATCATTGGTGGAAATCCCTCAAATTGGATCGTAATTAGAATTTTCTTAGACTAGCAAAACTAAGAGTTTGCGGAATTCTCGATTGTGGGCCATCGATACCCTCAAGCTTCCGCGGCGTTAGATTATGCCATACCTATATCCGAACTTCGTACACGTGTACAATTGCTGCCAAACATATACTAATAATCTCCCACCCACCAATTGTTCCAGCTGGTAATCGAAATTCTGACGTTACTAGTTATCATAAAATCAATTAGTGGCAGAAAATATGCAATCCGATCCCTAAGTCTTGTAGATTTAATTAACTTAAAGAATTGAGACTACATTATTGTAAATTGACATGTCTCCAATTTGGGGGTCCAATGTGAAAGTGTGAGGTTCATAGGGTAATTATTTAATGTGTGGAGTGTGAACCAACCTACTAATAGGGTTTAGAGTACTGTTATGATGCCCTAATTGCAAGTTGTGAATTTTTAAATCCAAGTCTTGTAATATATAATAACCAATAAGATGATGATTACGTTCCCACTCTTAATTTTATAATATTAGCAACCTCATAAGTAATAATGCATGCCTCATTATTTCCGACAATTTAATTCCTAACAATTCCCTACTTTTATTTATTTTAGGGTAAATTAAAACTACCCATGAGGTATGATCAAATTACGAAAAACCTCTCATATCTGGATAATTACATATACCCCTCAATTAAGAATCTTCTTACATCTCCATCATTATTGTGTCAACTTCAATATAATCATCTAGATTCCGTAGAATGTTATCTAGTTTGTACTCGTTTTGTGCAAAAATACAGTTTCTGATGCATCACAAATCTGATATATACTAACCAAAAATGAAAAAAACACATCTGATGATCATCTAGCTTCAATATGTGGAGCTCGAATGGGATAAAACAGGTACAAAATTGATAATATTTCATATAATCTAAAAGATTCCACTTAATTTGAACCGCAAGGGTGGACGTGTAAGAAGATTTATAGTTGATGTGAGATTGTAATTACCAAAACATGCGTGATGCTGCTCCAAAATGTTGGGTCAGCCCAATGGTCTTGAAGCCCACAGGTCTCCTAAGTCCGGGAATCTTCAAGCTCAATATCGGGAATGCCGAGAGTCCTTGCCACGCGTCCGAGGTAGTCGAAGGGATCGCTCCACTCATTAACCTACAAAACAGTTGAAAACACTAGGTGACACGCCGGGGGTGGCCCGGCGATTGTCCTCACGCACTCATTGCGGGAAACTATCACAATATAAGCAAATAATATTAATTAATTGCCTAAATAGTGCTTACCTTATTATATGAGTTAAATCACATATTTATAGGTGATGAAATATGGAGACTTCTTGTAGAAATCCGATGTGGGACAATATGTTATAACTAAAATCCTATTGAATTTTAGTAGATGTGATAATTGGGCTTTTATTATTAATTGGATTGATTTGGCCTTTTAGGCCAATAACCCAATTAAGAATTAGGCACATCATTAAGCCCCCCACTCCCAAGTAGGGCCACATGCACGTGGGCCTTGTTGGGAGTAACTTAGGAACAGTCGTTCTTTAGCGGGGCAAAATCCCTTGGCTTTATTGCCTAGTGGGAAGCACGCATTTCGTAAAGAATGAGTTATGCTTCATCTTTTCCGGTGAGACGGTATCCCTTGGTTATATAGCCTAGTGGGAGGCTCGGCTCTCGTAAAGAATAAGCTTTTACTTTATCTTTTTAGGTAAGACGGTATCCGTTGGCTTTAACGCCTAGTGGGAAGTCCGTATTTTTGTAAAGAATGAGTTATGCTTCATCTTTTCCGGTGAGACGGTATCCCTTGGTTATATAGCCTAGTGGGAGGCTCGGCTCTCGTAAAGAATAAGCTTTTACTTTATCTTTTTAGGTAAGACGGTATCCGTTGGCTTTAACGCCTAGTGGGAAGTCCGTATTTTTGTAAAGAATGAGTTATGCTTCATCTTTTTCGGTGAGACGGTATCCCTTAGTTATATAGCCTAGTGGGAGGCTCGACTCTCGTAAAGAATAAGCTTTTACTTTATCTTTTTAGGTAAGACGGTATCCGTTGGCTTTAACGCCTAGTGGGAAGTCCGTATTTGTACACTTGGTGGTTG